AACGGGCCATCCAGTGTCCCTCAGTTCCGCAGCAGTAACAAAACGGCCGTCTCTTGGTCTCGATGTCATGGGGCTCCGCGCGACTCGAGCCCCTCTGCGGCCTGCCCCCGCCGCGACCGCGACCGTGACCGCTCAAAGGACAGCGTGCCATCCAATGGCCCTCATCGCCACACGAGCGGCAGGCTGAGTGCTGGTCGCCACTGCTCGTCTCGCGTCCAAGGACTGCGCCAGTAACGGACAACTCATGCGCATGTGCTCGAACGCACCACATTTCCAGGATCTCGCTTATCGGGTAGGACGTGCGCATCGGACGTGCGCCTCGACAACCAGGGGCTGTGACGCCGCTCCGTGAAAGTGAAGCCTGGAGGGCGTCCACCTGCCTCTGGACCTGATCCAGACGCTCGTCTCCTGACCGGCACTGATGAGACCGACCTCTGCCCGGGATGAAGGCGGCCGACGTTCGACACCAGTGGGGTGGCTGCGTACGGGCGCGGCGGCGCCACCAGTGCAGCACGCTCCCATAGCCCCCAACGCATCATGCTGTCGCTGAATGTCGCGAGAATGACTAACCCGCCTCATAGAGTGATTGGAACCCTTTTCCAAGCGAGTTTGCCTGCAGACCTGGGTCGTTCAAGCCGCATACGGATCGCTGCAGGCTATTAGCCTCCGCAACCGCCGACTCGCGGTAGGCCTCGTGGGCTAGCTTCCCAACCCGCTCCGCAAAATCCTGCACAGTCTCACCAGACTCACGGGAGGCCCGGATAAACGCGTTGACTTGTCGAATCTCTCGACCAGATGCTGTTTCAGCTGCTCACATTCCACACAGGATGTTTTTAGCAGAGCAGCACAGTACTCGAATGCTATGGCCCCCAACAAACCCAACAGAAATCGGGCCTTCTCCTTCTTTTGGGCATTTGCCGGCGAGTACTTCGAAACGAATCGGCCGTGACTGAAATTCCTGCTCACCCTCCACCGTAAATAATTCCAGACGTGACAAAAGGACCGCGTCCATTTGATCCATTTGAGTGTTCGCCCCTGTCGGTCGCTTTAAGTATTATCCTGACCCCTGCCGGTCGCTTTAAATATTATCCAAAAGAACAAATTGTGGCGGTAAAAGCGCATGACACAGCACGCGTTTCGGTAAATATTCCAAACAATGTCACACATATCACACATACCCTGTTGACAAGCTCAAGAGAACATATAAAAAACAAGGCAGCTACTCTCTGCAAAGACAGGTTCTACCGCCAGCTCCAATGTTAAGTGTGTGCCATTCCGCCTCACCTCTGTCTGCCGGCGTCCTCCCGCACGCGTCCGCGTCTCAGGTCAGAGTGCACTCCCTCCACGAGCCGGCCGCGCAGGTCACCACCGCTGGCGGCCGGCCGCAAGGGCGGGTCCAGGGGCGCTAACACTAGACCCCGCACGCCACATTAGTTTTATCCTCAGTGGTTATAGCAGGAAGGAGCTCAGACCAAAGAATGATACAACTCTCTCTTCTCTCCCCTACTGTTCTTCATGTGAAACCAATAATAAAAAGTTCGGCCGTGAAACTAAGATTTCTGATATCTGCGGAGTTTTCAGTCTCCAAGTTCTAAAGTTCTGAAGTAAGCCTCGCCCCCCCCCCCCCTCACCCCGGATAAAATATGTTGCAAAACCTTCGCTAGCCAGTGCTAAACTATCTAAAAAGCTAAACATTGTCATCACTTATCTGGTGCAAGAGCATGGCGTAAAAACGCGCGACAGTTCTTTTAAAATTGGCATATCGGGTCAATTCAAACCTCCGCAATGTACAATGCACTTGGGACGACGACCAACAGTCGTCATGGCAACAAGTCAATCGGCGCTTTCAGCGGCCAACAGCAAGAACGGGTCGGCGGCTTCGGCTCACTCGGCGAGACATTGTCAGCGGCTGCGGACGCGTCCGACTCCGAAGGATCCGTCGCAGTGCGTCGCTATTCATGAGCAAGTGGAATACGAAGTCTACGCTGGTGGCGATCTGCCCGCTGACGATCATCGGCTCGGGCGTGCCTGTGCTGGCCATCGTCACCAGCCGCGCGCTGCGTAACCGGCCCATGTTCCAGCTGATCGCGCACATGGCCGGCGCCGGCGTGCTGCTGGGCCTGCTGACGCTGCTGCTGGTCGGGCTGCGGCTCCTGAGCGCGCCGCTGCCGCTGCCCGTCTGTCATCTGGTGATCTGCGCTCGCCGGACGTCAGCCGCGGCGTTCGTGGCCGTAGAGCACGGGTTGCGCTACTTCACGCCGCTGGCGCCGCGGCGCGCGCAGCTCCTGCACGCCGGCGTCTGGGTGCTGGCCGCACTGGTGACGCCGCCCCATCTGGCGCACGCCCTCGCCGCCCCGGCCCCGGACAGCGCCGTGCCCTGCTCCCACCGCTACCACGAGTCCGTCCACGACAGCTTGCTGGTCGATCTGCTCATCGGCGTCATGCTGGTGGCTGGCCGTCGACTGCGCCACTCTGGAGAGTGGTGTGCCATTCCCAAGCGTGCGGCACACCGCTGCTATCCTGCATCTGTTGCTGTTTCTCACATACGGCTGGCTGCTAGGCTTCTGGTGTCCGGACATACGGCTCCGCCGGACCTTGCGCGGTCGGGCACCCCCACAGCCACCATCGCCGCCGCAGACTCATCCGGGCGTGGTACATCTGGCGCTGCCGCCCTCCGGGCCGCTGCTCCTGTACACGCCGCTGCGGCGGGGACGGCATGTGGCCTGGTCGTGAGGCGGGGGCAGACCGCCCCAGGCTCGTCCACGGCAGCCCTAAAGGTCAGGAAACGTCAGGCGGCAGGACGGCCCGAGCCGAGCACTGCGGCACGTTAAACTGACCATGATCTGATCAAAATGACCGATCCAGTCGACGCGCCCCTTAAGGCCAAATTACTACATACTATATACTTTATATTATATATATATATATATATATATATATATATATATATATATATATATTTGACGGCTACATACTGTCGCCGTCAAATCCTGCTGTTGGCCTGGAATTGCGCAATTGGATGGTAAGGGCTTATGCAACAAGCAATGCTTAGCGTGAGCAATTGGATGGCAGGGCAGGGGCTCATACAACAAACAATGCTTAGCGTGAGCTCTGATTCCAGAAATTTACCCATTCAAAAGACTGAATCTTAGAAAATAGCGCCTACACGCAGCCAGCACGCGCACAGCAGTAGTGTTTTTTTTCAGTCAGTCCTGTAGTGCATTGAGCCTACTCGGCAACGCACGTTTGTGTGTTGCCGAGTATACGTGTGCATACGCATACACACGTATGCGCGTGTGTACGTGCGTGTGTGTTTGTGAGGGATGGGATGGGAGGGGAGAGGGCGTGTTATGCGTTGCTTCCTTTGGTTATTTTATCTGCTTGTAAGTAATATATGTGCGCGTGACATTTCTGCGTTCATCACCGTAAACGAACAGCTAGCATTCAGTTGGAAAGATTGGAAAGGTATGCATGAAAAAGTATACATCGTTTAGCATAAGCGCTATGGGAATGAGCGAGACTGGTTTAGAATTTCCTAATGTGGCCAAAATAAAACAAGCAACACCACAAATGACATCTCCCACTGATATGACAGCATCCTAATGACAAAACTGCTGTTGTCGACAGTTTGCAGCGACGCGAACATACCAACTGTTATGCTGACTTTGACAGCAAAACATGCCATTTTGTATCACTTTCCTTAGGTTTGACGTTCTGGGAAAAATTCGCTGCTCCAGGCAACACGATTTTTCTCTTTTGTAAATATGCTCCTCTATATGGCACCGTTTAATTACGTCATCGGACTTTGCACAACATTAATTAGGAGCCAACTGACAACCGTCGTGTCTGGAAGTGATGTTCACGAACGCCAGATGTGTACGACTCAACAATAACATTTGCATTGGTTTTGGTCGTCGCATGGCTAATGGTATGGGAGGGTTTGAATGACACTATTTATACATCATGGATGCCTGGGTGGCCTTGAAACAATCTTTCCGAAATAGTCTGAGCGTCTTCGCGGGCGAGTAGCTCAGAAACTAGAGGGTTTAAGTCTTAAAAAGTTCAGGGCTGTGAACTGTATCAGATTATCTCCAAGACGGTTATTTTAGTCCAAAACCACATGCAAATGTGGAACACTCCCTTTAACTTACAACGTAATTCAAAAGCATTTTTCACGCTCAATCCGTCACAAGGTCCCTAACCTATTACACGTGCCACCCGGAATTTGGTCAGTTGCTGCATGGACAAGTCACCACTGTCTACAATGTATTGGCAGCATTGTCTACTACATTTCCCCAAAGACTGAAACAGGCCGATGTGTTTAGGTGGTGCATACGATGAAGTTTTGAACGAGCTGTTGTCCTTTAATGAACCGTTTGTATGAAGTGGCTGTGAGATCGCCATGGGCTGATGGGCTGATGTTGCGGATATCACCAACACACTTGTGTCTTGCATGTGTTCTCAGAGAAACTCGCGGTAGCTTCCCTGCATCAGCAGCGCTTCCTGTTTTCCCGGCTGAGGCCTGTAATACCGTCGCGGCATTCCCGGCTCGACTCCGTGGGGCACGCCGGGGTTGCGAAAGCGGATCACTACCCCATCGCATTCTGCAACACCCTATGACGAGAGGTGAAATTCCAGAGCAGACACACATTTAGGTGTGCACGCTGGCATTGCGAGATATGTGTCAGTTCAGTGCATAATACGACTGTCTTCTCATACGTATAGGTACAGCGGAAGCTTTGCAACTTGTCATGACACCATGCTCCAATTTGATGGCATCAGGAGTGAATGGGATGCCCTCAAGTGCTCCAGACGACCCACAGTGTCTAAGCGCTGCCTGTATTAAGTACAGTGTAGTGATGATGGTGATAACGAATATCACCATTACGCTTTCCTGCTTTGTTATTAGATCTCCGTAACATCTCGCTTTCTCGCGTCGCAAGTTCAAATGATCATGAGCTGGGAGTTATAATGTTATGCTCATGTAGACAACGGTCGCATAGGAAAAGCGTCGAAGTGTATTGGCACCTCCATGCAGCGATAACATGCAAACGATGAAACGATGTACGAACGATGCGTAATGTAAAGGATGGACGGGTTCTCTGCCGCACTGCCTTCATTTTAGATCCATTGGCACAACGTAAATATATTATTAATCATTCTCAACTGCAATGGTACCCGGCAACTCATGACAACGAACACGCACTGCATCAGGTGCAAACAAACCTCAGTACACAAACAAACCCAGTACACGAACACCCCTTGCATAACTTGCACACCTGTCCGCACAATGTTTGGGTCCGTACGCGCGCCATACGAGTTGGCCCCATTCGTATGAGACATGCCGATAGCCTGTATAAATCATAAGTCGGGATTCAGCGACAGGGCAAACACCGATAACGCCAGTATCGGAACAGGTTTGGCGGGGAGGGGGGGGGATCTGGCGCCCGAGACGTCACGTAGATAAGGAGGTAGGGGGGGGGGACGGGCGTCCTACTGGGTCCCCGGGTCAGTCGCCGCTGGGAGACCCACGAGCCGCTCGCTGACGGCCCAGAGCCGGGCGGCGTCCTCGTCACTCTGCGCCCGGCGCGACGGCTGCGTCTCCTTGCAGTCGGCGTAGTAGCGGCCGCTGACGGTCTCCAGCTCGGGCGCCAGCGCGCAGTAGAGCGTCGTCTGCGCGCCCTGCTCCGGCGAGCGCACCACCGGTCGCAGCAGGGCGCGCAGCCAGCCGCCCTGATGTCGCCACAGCTCCGTGCGCACTACGCCCGGGTGCACGGCGTACGTGGTGACGCCGCTGCCGGCCAGCCGGCGCGCCAGCTCGCGCGTGAACAGCACGTTGGCCAGCTTTACTCTGGTAGTACGCCTTCCATTTGGTGTAGCCCTTGGTGAGCATGAGGTCGTCGAAGTGCATCTGGCCCCTGGTGTGCGCCAGCGAGGAGAGATTGATGACGCGCGCGGGCGCCGCCGCGCGCAGCTGGTCCAGCAGCAGGTGCGTCAGCAAGGAAGTGGCCCAGGTGGTTGGTGCCCAGCTGCAGTTCGAAGCCGTCGGCGGTCTCGGCGCGCGGGCACGCCATCACGCCGGCGTTGTTGATCAGCAGGTGCACCTTCGGCTCCCGCTGGCGCACGGCGGCGGCGAAGCAGCGCACGGACTCGAGCGAGGCCAGGTCCAGCTGGAGCAGCAGGGGCTTGCCGCCGGCGCCCACCGGCAGCTCGCGCAGCGCTGCCTCGCCCCGCTCCAGGCTGCGCACGCCCAGGATGAGGCGCGCGCCGCGCCGGCCCAGATCGCGTGCGGTCTCCTTGCCGACACCCGAATTGGCGCCAGTGATGACCACAGTCTTGCCGTCTAGCCGCGCCTCCGACCGATACATGGGGTTCCAGGGCATGACGGCGTGCAGCGCTGCAAGGACGGCGGATGTCTGGAGCGGCGGAGGCACAGGGGTGGGCGCAGGGCAGCGCAGATCCGGCGAAAGGTTCGATCAGCAGCGTCCCCCAAATGAGTAGCTTCCGCACCAATGGCCAAAACTTCCGCGGCAGGCCACAACTGTCCCGAACGGCAGGTCGCAAGTTCACACGCACCGCTCAGTTCACTCCAACGAGGACTCGCTCTAACACCGACACCCTCACGCGCTCTCCAGCCGAGTGTGGCGCTTCACTGACCCGCGCCACAGAAGTACTGTTGAGACCGGCCCGCGCGACCTTCGGAAAATCCGCCAGCTGCAACGCATCGTGACGCATCAGGCTGGCCATGACTTGTACAATGACGCAATCCTCGTGGTTGGCGCGGCGGTGGCACGCCCGGCCGCCCCGGTAACAAACCATATCTGCGTAAAGCCGCCAACCATTTCAGTAAGGTAGATTAAGAATCGCCCTAAAAAAGCCGAAACGTGCGAGTTGCTCGCTTCTTTAATCCTATAACTAAGGTCTGCATTTCAAACGCGCACTGAAGCTCCCTTGTTTTCCACATGACGTCGGTGATAATGACACCTTGGATATAATATATATCATAAAAGGCAACGGAGCCGAGCTGCATATCTTAACTTCTCGTCAGAATCTCGCCCCGTCGCTTAGGAAACATTCGTGCCCCTCGCTCAGGGGGACAAAAGACCCTGTTCACAGGCGGTGCATACCAACAGTTATTAGGGCGGTATTCATAACGCATTGACCAGGGGATATAGATATTAGCAGCATGCGACATCGTCCGGCGGCGCCGTCTTCTCGAAACAGGGGCACATTCAGTTGGAATTTATCTGAAGAGAACATACTTCACGTACATATCACTTGATCTAAGTACTCCAAAGGCCGCAGATAAAGCACAACAGTCGTGTATTGCAATGTATTAGCTATAAGCGTTATTAGCAAGCAGCCAGCAGTGCTGAATTTGAGCTCACCAAAAACCACCGTCTGAGTTAGGCACACCTCGAACACCACCGACCACTGCGGCGGTTACATCGCGGCCGCCTGTCGCCATCCTTGCGGGACAGTGGGCAGGAAGTCACGTAACACCTAGCGCCCCAGCGCTTTGGATTCGCGTCCTGGAAACCGCGCTTGAATACTCGGTTTGTCAGATGTGGTCAACTGGCAGTGGGCAATGAGGTTTCGGCTGACACTAAGATGCCGTGTCGTGGCATATTTCATCAGGGAGATTTCTGGTCCCAGAAGTCATCTCTGCAGACCATTAGGTAGCAAATCTTTCCAGGTCGGGCACGGCTTAGGTAGGTCAGATAGGTAGAAAGTCATTATCGCCAAACAGAAGTGACAACGTTCGTAAAGCACTGGGGAGAAGGGGAGGGGTAAGGCCGACGACCCGACGACCTATCCCCTCTCATTTTTTTCAGCAGATTTGGCACATTTTAGTTCCGACAAAAGGCAACTGATTTTTAACATTGCGGTGTCGTTAGAAAAAAGTCATTCAAGCAACATAGTCGGCGTCCAGGGGAAGGGGCGAGGGATTGGAGGCACGTGCCCTTTCTCACCGGAAAGTAAAGGGGCTTACCTAGAGACCCCCTTAGGGAGCTGAAAATAACAATATTATGGCGGTTATGGGGCAGCACGCAATTTTTGTTCGCCGACACGAAGACGGGGTAAGTGATGAAGGATCATTCCCATACTTCGGAACTTTTCAGTTTAGCCTCTCAACCTCCGCGCGTCCTATGGCGCCAAAAGCATCAAGTTTATTGCATCGTCGCCCAGCAGTTTGGATTCGCATCGGGTGGTAAGAGCAAAACACTTTTTATTACGGGGGACGGTGTGTTCTAGCGTTTGCAGATGCCTGCTTAATACAAAAAAAAAACGCATATTTGTGTGTCCAGGGGGCGGTAAGCATACGAATACATTACACACACACACGCATACATTGACGGATCTAATTGCAGGGTTTGGAGCGAAGTTATTTGGCCAAATTATACAGCCTACTTTAAAATTCCCTTTTCGTCTTTGGATATGGAGCACAGCGCCCTCCGTGTAAAACATTGCTGCTTCATTTCAGCAAGGACTCTTGCGTGACATACAAAGGGGGCTCGAAAACCTTGGTATGGATTTGGCGTCGCACCACATTTGTCAACTTAGTTACGACATGAAATCAATAATTGTAATCAACAAAGCAGTCTAATGAGCATTACTCAACTTAAACTCAGCTATGTTCAACGACTTACAATGAATGATTCACATTGACCAATACTTCACCAAGGTTGAGGTTAAAAACAAACTGTGCCAATAACATCCATGCAAATGCGCTGTAAAAACAACGGTCCGCTTTCATTTTTCCTACTTAAACCAGCGTTGAGTTGGCCTAAGTGCCAATTTGTTTTGTTTTTTTAATTCAGGTTGACAAAAATGTCACCCTTACAATAATTTGATGCGGTTGAATAAGAAACGTCCACCGCCAAATATACAGCGCGATCTGCAGTGTAAAGAGAAGAAAAATTAGACCAGCAAACTTAATAAATTTTTGGCAACTGTGGTGTACAAAATACATGCACTAATAATAAATCATACCTAATAATAATAAGGTCATACGCATGTCTATTACCAACTTGTTGCACGCCTGAGGTGCGCCAATCATTTCCGTTAAATGAACGTATGTCATATTATGTAAGCACGAGTACCGAATTGCATTCTTTTGGGAGGGTCACTGTCCTTCCTGTTCAGTTTGCCCTCCACCCCCTCCCCAACGGTGACCTTGACCCCAGCCTTCTGGGTTCTTAGTAAATATAAAAGATGAAACATTTTGAGCTTAAGGTTATGTTAATTTCTAAGGAAGTTTGTTGTAATTATTTCACAGGTGAGAGGAACAAAGAAAATGAAAATGAGACGCCATGTTGTCACCTGGGTGCAGCTGACAGAGCTGGCCACACTTTTAAAGACTTACTTTCGTACCGTGTTGACTCGATGATTTCCGGTTCTTACTGCTTGCTGCTTGTTTTTAATTAAACAATTAATTAATATGTCTTGCTGACTCTGTTCTGGTTGGCAACAGCAAGTTGTTTCAGCACGTTGCGTTACTTTTTCACGACATCTTAACGTAAAATAAAAACAAAGCAGCCGAATATTAGCAGAGGAACGTGACCAATCAGTTCAAAATACACGTCTAAAAGAAACCTGGGCCGAGTGCACTGACCTCCACTTCGACGTGAATCCTCGCTGGAACAGTTATGAAAACCTGACGATCGACACCAGCCGACTAAACCGATAGCGTCGTTATGTCCAGCAGTGACCACCAAAACAACGCTAGCCGTGTCGAACATGCCTACCCGAATGCTACGTTGCAGCCTGCATTCTGCCTTGCAGCTCCCGACCAAGGGCTTTTCGTAGCAGCCTTTAAGAGCCACGTACCTCAACTATGCACTCTTAACTCGCAAAGTCACAAGCGTTTAACAACGTCCGAATTCACATACATCAACCCCACGTCGCTTACCAGAGCCTGATGTCGACAATCGACGCCAGCCAAAATGAAAGTAACGCCCAACAATGACGTCTCCCACCGAGACGGAGGAAAGAAAACTGATTAGAACAGGGCTGTGGTTTCCTGTTCGGTCGGGGGAACTCCAACTCCATGACACTGCGAGGAAATTGGATCAACTCCGGGGAGAAACCTGCTTTTCGCGCATTGAGGGCTAGACTATCCCCGCTAAGCCCCCAGGCCTATTTTTCCAAACTACAAGGATCTGCTGGACGCTTAACGACCGTGACACGCGATGGATTCCCCGCCCGATTACTGAAGCATCAGGTTTGGGACTTGGCGCCCATTTCCCAAACAGGGCCGGACCCTCGATTTACCTTGGTCGGGCTCCTTACTCAATGGGGGCCCTCTGTGTCACTCAGGGATCCATAGCGCCTAACAAGGGCTATGCATTAACAAGGAGCCGAGAATCGGTCTGGGGCAGCGTTCAAGGGGGCCCGTAGAGGGGCACAAGGGGCCCCTCGTGACTGTCGATGAAATACGTGATTGGAGGGTGTGGGGTGTGTGTGTGTGTGTGTGTGTGTGGGGTGTTGGTGCGGTGCGATGGGGCGGGGTTTCCTGGCCGCCGCTGGATGTTGCACGCTGCCGGTTGCCGCTGTCACATCCTCCCACGAGAGCAAATTTATAATGAGAAGCCCATTGGTCAGCGTACGAGCTCCATGATGTTAGCGCACGGCTCGACACGTTGCGGCTCCGGTACACCCGACGTCAACACACACTCATGTGAGCCACAGAGCTAGGATGAAGCGGGTGACCTGGGCATTGGCGGGATGGCGGATCCGGTCAGGCACCATGAACGGCTGTCTCCCCGCCCATGGCTGTGCGCCCTTAACCACGGTATCCACCTCCACCCTTTAGCTAGCGATATCATTTAAATGGGGCAAAAACGGGAATGCGTGCATACTAATGCGCCTAACCGGCAAGGGTCCCCCGCACTGGCGAACTATATTGACAAGGGCCCACTGAGTAATGAACCTGGGACCCCCCCCCCCCCTCCCCACCTTAATTAATCCACGCAGACTCCACGCACTCGGCGCCCATCACACTCATTCCAAGCATTCGCATACGCTGGCGCCCACACCATCTCGTTCATCCTTGGCACGCACACGGGTGGGACCCCCCCCCCCCCGCTTTTTCCCCGCACCTTGACATTATAATTGGCCCGTCTGCATGGGTCCTCGTTAAGTTTAATTCACCTATCACATTTCGGTCTTGCCATAAATGCACGTTTAAGCCTCGTTCAAAGCATATCACGATGATTTGCCAGCTTGACACCGACGCGGCTGCTGGGCCGACCACGAGTGTCAAAGCTGAACGGCGACTCGCTCCCTCGCCTGACCTCCAGGGTGACGGCTCCCTATTTGGACGACGCTTCCCACGTTCCGTCCACGATGGGCGGCTCCGCATTCACACGGCCGCACCCACCGCTCGCAGCTTTCCGCTGCCGCGCATGCGCCTTAGGCGGCGCCTCGTCCAGCACGGAGGCGTCGCTTCCGGCGCTTCTGCGCCCTCGCCTCCCGTCCGCCGGAGCAGGCTTTGCAAGGCACCGCCCACGGCGCGTCCCTCAGAGGCCCGGAGGCAGACAGCGCGCTCATGGGACGGTGGAGCCTCTCGGCAGACGACGAGCGCCCGGCGCGACCTGCGTTCACGCCTTACGGTCTCCTCGGCCGGCGCGCTCTGGAGACTCGGCCTGACCGGCCTGTCCGACGACCTGACTCCTCGTCGCCTTCCCTATGAGCGTCGATGACGGGATCCCTATCCGTCCCGAACATCCCGTCACCAATCGCTCATAAGGCCCGGCGTGCACCACGTCGGAAGAGAGCGGACTGACTCCTGCCCTCTCCCAAGGCGGAGACACCACGGATAGACTCCGCTACCGCCCTGCACGATCGAGCATCCCAGGCGGCCCCCACAGATCCAAGGTCACTTCATGACCAACGCCTCCTTAGGCCGTCACGCCTGGGGTCAAGTGGGGAACAACAAAACGAGTCGGCCGTCTCAAAAAAAAAACGAAACTGTGTCTTGTGCCGCGCTACCCACAAACGTCTTTCTGCGTAAAAGCAGGACTGCGGTCGTCTGGCTCCTCGTCCTTGTCACAGCCGCGCCGGGCTACTCGCCTGCCGGCGGGCCACGAGCGGCGGACTGCTCCGTCCACCCACACCGCGACAGACCGTCATCTGCCGGCCGGTCGCGGGTGCCCGCGCCGCCATCGCGCACCGTCGGGTGCTGCCCTCTACCGCAATTGCCCATAGCGACTGACAGATGGCGTCCGTGTCTCCTCCCGAACGCCGGCCCGGGCGACGCCCCGCGAGTAACCTCCTCCGGTCTCGCGGAACTGCGGGAAATCCTTCGAGATGCCGCGGGCCCGGCGCACCTCACCGCTATGCCTTAACATCCCGGCGCAGGCGGTCTCTCTCCGACCTCTAGCCTACATACCGGGGTTATATCCGGCTCGGAGAATTCGACGCCATTCTCCCCCATACCGGACCCCCGGCGTCCGTGTCGGATCCATCTCGGACGAGATGGGTATTCGCTAACGAAACAGTAGCGCGGGGCATCAACTGGCCAGAGAGCGACCCAGACCTAGTGAAAGGCAGAGGGAGATAGAAGCCGGGCAATACACGCGCTCGCTGGGGGAATCCGCGCAGCATGCGCGGAGCTAGACCGCGCTAACCTCTTACGCGAGAAAGGCCGAGCATGCGCGCTGGATCGAACCCGTGAGGTTCCAGCTTATTGCCTCTAACTATTGACACTAAACCGGCTTCTAACTATTGACAAAGAAAACGAAACGAGAAATGTACGGCGAACGGTCCACCTGACCCACATCCTGCCGCCATAGCATGTCGGCGCGGCCCATACATCGCGTCCGACCGCGACGACGGCCAGACGAGGGCCCAGACAAGCCGATGCGCCTCTGCATGGCTTCCGCCATTGGTAAACTCTGGACGCCTACGGGGCATACCAACGAACTGGCCGCTGCGCCCAAGTATGCGTCCCGGGCTCCGGACACGACACCGCCCAACGCCGGGCCGCGTGTCCTCTCGCCGCCCGAACCGACCTCGTCCAGCCTCGCTCCCTCACTAAACCATCGCTACGCAATCCAATACCTGTATTTATACGCAAAGACAACGAAGCAAAACATCATCCATAGACCGCGACATACACACCTACCACACTCACACCCCCGAGCCCCTCCCCCTTTCCCCGGCTCTGCGGTAACCGCGGCTTACGCCGCCCGGTGGGAAGCGGGACGGAAGGGCACACTCGGGGCGCCAGCCGTCCATGGCCCGGTAAGATGGAAGGAGGGGGGGGGGGGTCAACGGTCTGGACACCCACATCGTGTGCGCTGTCGTCGGTGACTATTGCCCGTCGCGTCGAACGTCGCAACTCTTGGTCCGTACTCCCCGCACTCTGTACTGCCTGGTCCGTCCCTCTTACGGAGGCCCTCGCATGATAATTTATAAAATTCCGATGCCTTTCAACTGGGTCGACCCGCCTCCGTCGCCTTGTGTGACCCAATCGGTTTGCCGCCTCGCCCCCTCCGTCCAATCCGTCGCCGGGCCGGCATGCTCCGCTGCCAGAGTCCGGCCCCCGACGTGCCCCTAGGCCAGATCTCGGGCGTGGTGTCGCTGGCGACGACGCAAGGCCAGCCCGCTCTCGCCTCGGGCGGGCCCTGCGCATCCCCCACTGGCCCAGTTCCCACGTGGCGCGGCTCTCGAAACGGCATCTGGGGCGACGGCGGCGCCTGCGCGGCGGGGGCTCTTGGGGTGGTTGGGGGGGGGGAGTGTGATGGAGGGGAGAGGGGAGTCCTTGACCACAGCCGGCTGGCTCGCGTTCCCGCGCTCTGTGCGCGGAACCCCTCCGGTCCCGGGCGGGTGGCGCGCAGAACAACGAGACATGAAAATGTACGCCTACAAGGGCATAAAGGGCTGGCTATAGGCGACATTAATAACCCCGGCCCGCGGGACCACATCCCCAAATGTCAGTCAGAAGATCTCTTGCACCGATTGAGGACACCCTGGAACAATAAACGTGTGTGCCTCTATTTCGGCCAGAGACTACCAACACCGAACAGTCGGCTGTGTGTCGGTCTGAGCCCTGGGAGCCATTTCCCAAGCAGGGACAGGGTCGGTACGCGCCATTTGCATTGGTCAAGTCCCCTGAACCAATGAACGCCTCTGCGTCGATCAGGTCCGTTATACCGAACGGTGTTCTCTGCGCCATTGACACCTGTGGCGATAAGGATTTATTTGCGCTGTTGAGGGCCCCTGGGTCGATCCGGGACCAAAAGCCCGGGTCAGTGGGCCTCCGGCGCCAAACAGACGACCAGCGTATGATTGATCTCTCTAAGGGCTTCCGTATCGACCAGAGGACCTCCCCCGTGTTCCAAGTATAGCAGCCAGCAGGCACCCCTCGCTTGAACGGAATGGCCCTTTTTCCCCCTCGACCGGACAATAAAATGTGGCCCCTAGAGTTATTCACACCTGCTCCTT